CCAAAAATTCGTGTGCGTAACGAATTGCCGAAAAAATCGGTTTCAGATGGGAAGCAGGTAAATTATTTCTCCGAAACAAACTGGCCAAAGTCCGCAAGCTTTCCGTGATGCAAACATAAAGCCCGGGTCGCAATTATAATAGGCCGGTCCAATAAATTGGGTAATACTATCTTTTTTGAGGAACTGGCTGTAAATTGGTTATCTCTTATGTGGTCGCTATGTCGTGCAATACCTTGCACGTTCGCGGACATTATATATAAAGTATATATAAAAGGCCGTGTGAATAATGCTTCAAATCGGCACATCTCCGGCGCCACATTGCTCGTTAAACCTCACCCGCTCGAAACCCTACTTACGCCGCGGCGACCTGAAGAGCCGTGCCGAGAGGGGCACGGACAGCCTGTCGCTTGGACGAATCTTCCGTGATCACATTCTGAGCTGCTCATGTTCCTTCATGGACATTTCCCGATGCGTGTAGTCTTGCAGACCGGACTGGGGCAGCCTTGGACCCGAGCGAGGTTTCCCTTGTCAATCCCAAAAACTTGTGCATTTGCATTTCGGGCTTTGCCGTAATTACTGCTTACTAGTGCAGAGGAGTGAGCGAGCGCGTGGGCGTTGGTGAGCACAGGCGCGTGGGCACGAGACCGAATGGCATGCCATTCCATTACTGTGTGTGGTTGTTACAGTGGGCTCCAGACTCACAAAGAGTAGAGCCAACGGGCCAGGTACTGGCCGTGCACTGCACCCGAGACGAACAGGACAAACAAGACACCCATCCAGACCACAAGTCACCTAGACACACTACTGGGGCAAGCTGGCAGCCATTTCCCAACTTCCCTTCCACCGCGTATAGCGGCATGTACCCACATGCAGAGCTCAAAATTGTGTAAGGGCACGCATCATTAGCATTTCAATTTCTGCCCCAATAAACCCACCTGGCACACCCTAACATACCTTCAAAGCGAAAGCTCAACAATCAAACCCTCATCCGTACTCTCGCCCTGTCCTACTACACCCATATGCTGCGTCGCTGTCCTAACCCTGCCATTCCGCGCGCATCTCCATAACAACCTCCTCCACCATTGTGTGTATGTGTTACATCTCGGTTGCGTGACCCCGAGAGGCCTAACGAGCCCATACGAGCCACAGCAGGAGCCCAAGACCCTAAGAGCCACCATGTTTTCATATTAATGAATAAACAAAGACAACCAAGCCAAACACGCAACCGCTATGCCTCATTCAAGTCCAAACACGCACACACACAACCCGGACTCCGAACCTGCAGTGTCCCCGCGGGCCTTACAACCCCGCAGCCGCGCCAGATGCGGCATCTGCGGTTCCTGTGTCACGCGGATAGCAAACACCCTGAAGCGCCGAGCAGCCTCGCCCCGCCGGCTGCTCTAGCTGGAGGTCGGCAGCGGTGGGCCCGGCCGGCACAATACCCCCCGGGTTGAGCGGGAAAAGGTTCTTGAAGTACGACACGCGGGCTGCGTCTAGATCCACAGTGCCGCTCACCTGCTCCGAAGCCAACGGGGATAACAGCTCTGGACGCGTCTGTCCATCGTACAACAAGAGAGTGACACGAACGCCTGTCTTTTCTTTCTTCCTGCCGAAGGTGCAAAATCACTTTAGGAACCGTGTCTATGAGTGTTCGTGTGCATGTGCGTATGATCCCGATGAGAGTGTCTATGAGTTCGAGCATGCTTTGAAAGGTTTTCTTCAGTACAATAATCTCTCTTCTAGTTGTGTGTCGTGTTGTTTGGGTTTGGCGTCATCGTCATTGCCAAATGCCGCATGTCTTCTCCTAAACAGGATAGCCGTAGCCCGGAGAGTGATGCACGCACCGCAGTGGGTAATTCGGTAAACGTCGCAGTACGAACAAGGTCGTCGTACCGATGGCATTACAAAAATACCTTAGGACTCCGGGGTCATCAGAACAAAACCTCGAACCTCTTTCCCCCCACAAAGCAACAAACAAAGTCTGTACACTTGTTGCCTTTCCTTCACGCCGTACTTTTCCCGTCGTACTTTAAAACGTCGTACCTGTAAGCTCGAGCCGGGTACCTTGATCTGCCAGATGTCCCGGGCCCAGGCAGCCAGGGCTGGGTAGTCGCCCTCGCGGCCGCCGCCGGCAGCACCGAAGATGCGGCGGCGGCAGCACTTGAACAGCGGGCCGTACACCGAGTCCAGCCGTACGACAGTCGGAAAAAGCCAGACGTCGCTTTCCGTCAATCTGAGGCCCCGAGCAGATCGTTGAGGCGAGTTAAGGTGCCGCCACCCGAGTTCATGATGTTGGGGGCAGGACAGGATGTTTAAGATATTGGAAACAGCAAGGGATGCTGGATGTTGCACCTTAGGGCCAAAGACAGGTCATGCCTCCGTCCACATTCCTCCGGAGCATGTATGAGTACGTTGACTGTTCCCACGTGTTGACCGCTCTCTATCGATGCCGTACCTGTCCCCCAGCAGGAAGCGATGGGAGCTGAGACGCGACTCCATCTCGTCCAGGGTCGACCACAATTCCGCCTGCGTTTGTACGGGACATGTACGACATCTATATTTATGACTGATGAAATAAGTGTCCTTTACAGCAGCCCTTCCTCTAAATAAGTAATAATTTTTTGACCTCAGGCCCACCATTTGTGTTTCGATTGCCACTGCTCGCCGGCTGCATAGCGACCGCGACGGCCTAGCACCACAGCGAGCGACCAAACGCAGCGACTAGCCCGTACCAGGAAGTCGTACCTGTACGGCATCGTACGCTTCCTGTGTTGTGGCGAAACCCGAGCGGTACACCCCGTTGTTGATGGAAGAGTAAATCTGTTGTTGGCCACGTGGACAGGGGTCGTTGATGATAGCGGACCGAACGCAGTACAGGTACGACACATGGCACCAAACGGAATCAACGTAACACGTGATGTCTAAAATGAAGACCTGCCGGAAAAACTCGGAGGTTAGCCGGACGTGTAGGCTGGAAGAAAGGGCCTGGCTCAATGGCCTCGGACGATATTTCAACAGGCAGACAACGCTTCGGTGCCACTTGTGTTTATTTCTATTAAGAGGTCCGCTTGCCCAACAATAATCTGTATGTGGAGGTTTTCCGGTGTACGACTACATACCGTTGACAGTTAGTCTCCTTACTTTAGCGTTCAACTCATCAATTTGCGACGTCAGGTGGCGCGGCCGTAGCTGCACGTCCGTACACCCCGGTAGGTGCATCTCGTCCAAGCTCCGTACAATCTCCGAACTTTCGTTGCACACGGCCACACGCCGTACCCGGTCCACCATCAACGGTGCCGTACAGCGGCCCCGAAATCCAGGCTGGCAGATGTCGTAGACCTGCCTGGCGGGGTACAGCAGTACGGCAACATCGCGCTGCCATCACGACGACCGATGGAGGCAGGGTCCTCGATGGGCCGTCGTGAGCTGCGTGCCGTACATTCGTACAACATCCTACCTTTCCAAGTCTATCAAAGCTCGAGGATGTCCTCGGCCCAGTCCGTCTTGCTTCCAATCCCCGCACGCGCGCCTGTCCTAGCAAAGCTCAGCCAGCCCGCTAGGCCCCAACTCTCCATCTCCTCCACTCCCTTCTTGTCCCGAGCTTAGCCCCGGTCGCCCGCAGGGCGACCACCACTTCACCAATTTCTCTCTCTTGCTCTCTTTCTTTCTTCCTCTCTCTTGCTCTCTTGTGCTCTCTTTCTCTCACTCTCTTGCTCTCCCGCTTCTTTTCTTTCGGCACTTGGAAGTGTAATACACGTCCTTACGCCCTAAGGCCCACAGGCAGCCGGTCCGCAAGGTATCCTTGGGGGCCCACACACTGTAACCCCACACCACGCCTCAACCTCCAAATCCTAAGCCAAAACACTTTCCCCAACCACCAACTACCAACCGCCAACCTCACCACAGATCCGTAGCTCCGAAGACTGGGTCGGGTTGCGCCGCGCCAAACACCCAGCCACCACGACGGGCGCGAGTCGGGTCGTCTTCCAGTCGCGTCAACGTGACATGTTGCTGTTGCTGTTGTTGCTGTTGTTGCTGTGGCTGTTGTTGCTGTGGCTGTGGCTGCAGCGGTGCTGTGACCGGCCGCATTGGCGTCAGCAGCGGCGGCTGACGTCGTTCCGGTGGCACAGCCGCAGCCGCCGTCGCCGCCGCCGCCGTCGCCGCCGCCGCCGTCGCCGCCGCAGCCGCCGTCGCCGCCGCCGTCGCCGCCGCAGCCGCCGTCGCCGCCGCTGGCGGCCGCGGCACCGCCAGGTGCCCTCTCAGCACTGCGGCCAGGACCACTCGGTGACACCAGGGGCAGGCGTTACCCAGGTACAGGTGATAACGACCCGACTCTGGCTGCGGTTGCACGACACGCGGCGGTTGATAAACAAATTCAGTTTGGTTGGTTAGTTAGTCGCACTGGATGGGGGGCACTGAGCAGTTTACAGCGGCTCATGCAGCGGATTGCAGCACGGAGTGGATTGCGGTGGCGGTGGCAGCAGGAATGGCAGTTCTACTGTCTCCCCTTGACTTCATGCCCCGACCCTTTTTCCATCCTCTTCCTCTTCCTCCTCCTCCCCCTCCTCCTCCTA